TCTGTCAATGAGTAATCGACATCTCGTCCTCATCCTGGCTGGTTAATAGCCAGGATAAGGATTCTTTTGATATTTTTTCAAAATTTATCAAAGTTAATTCATTAATTAAGTCACCCAAAACATCTGAAAATATTTAGAATTTTTTTTTAATTGACGAACTGAACAAGTGTAAACGCAATGTCAATCTGTCCTCGTACTCGGTCAAACTGTACAACAGTCCCATTCAACGGTTACGTTGGCCTGATCGGTATTATAATGGACCAGTTTCCAGCGAGGCCCTTTTGCGGGGAGGTGTAACCGTACAGCCCTGACTCTAAAATTGACAGTTATAAATGTTTTAGGTGAAAATTAATAAAAATTACAATAAAAATTAAGTTAATTATTAAGTAAATATTAAAATTATTTTTTTATTAAATTAAAAAATAAATTTATTTAATTTTTCCTTATTCTAATTTTGGTAGTTTTGTTTTGACAGTGTTCTAACTTATCAGTAAAAAGTAAAATTCGAAATGGATATTTAAAAATTTATAAATGATATATTTATGGAAATTTTTTTACTTTCATTATGGAAAAAAACAGATGTTTTTTTTTGTAGAATTTCTTTTTTAAATAAATTATTATAAAAAAAATTTGAAATTCAGAAACTAAAAAAAATTAAAAACAATTTTTTAAAAATAATTTGTGGCAATAAATATTTTTGTCAAATAAAAATTAAAGAATAACCGACTGATTGCTAATTTTAAATAATACAAAAGTTAGCCGACGTTTTTAATTTTATTATTTTTTTATTTATTAAATTAGAACAAACTTAAAGTTTTTTTAAAATGAAATTATTTTTAAAATATTTTTTTTAATCATTTTTTCAATAAAAAAAATTCTAAAAATTTTAAGATGTCGGCTAACTTAATTTTCATAATTTTAATGTCAACATTTTATAACAACAATGGATTTACTGTAAAATTTACAAAATTGGTCGGATGTTAGATAATTTCAGTGCCAGAATAAATTATTAAAAAAAAAATATTTTATATAATAAAAAGTAACAAACCTTAGCAAAGAAATAGTACACAGAAAGGTCATACGCTTGTTAATACTAAAATTGGCAGACATCTTTTAATTTATAGAATTTTATTTAAAAATCAAATTATTAAAAATTCTACATGTATAGAAATTAAAAAAAAAAACTAAAAATGCAATTTATTTTTTAAATCAAACTAAAAGATGACTAGATGTTTGCTAATTTCAGCTTAACAATTTCACTTAACTCTGCTATTTCTTTACCAGACGATGCCAGATGATGGGAGATTATTTTTCTTCTGAATTGTTGACCAAATCCAAGTGTCTTGATTCATTGTTGCAAAAATTTTTTAAACACACACTTATACGTACGATGTTCAACAATTTACTAAATTTTTATGACGACATTAAAAATTTTTTTAATTCATTTAAAAAAAAAATAAAAAACCTAAAGGCTAACTTCAGATCATAAATTTTTCTGTAAAAAAATCTTCAATTGGATCCGACATCACTTTTGGCTAATATTCGATTAAGTCTTTGATTATTATTTAATTTTATATATTTTGATTACACATATACCGGTTATTTAAATATAAATTGAATTATTCGGACGGAGACACTTGCGACGCGACCGTTACTACGCATTAACTTGCTAGCGACTGAGCCGATCAAGCAGGCAGCGCTGTTTGCTGATTTGTTGAGTTTGCGCATGCGCAGAAGTTTTTTACAAACTACACATTATTGCGAAATATTGCTGAAATTTAAAGGTTATATTTTTTACTAAAGTAGTTTCGTGAAAAAAATAAATAAATAAAATGGGTGAAGTTTTAGAAAATATAAATCCAAAGTTGTATGACAAATTAGGTGACCGTTTGATTACAACTGATGATTATAATGAGGATATTGTCGATGAGTTTGATTCTCGAGAAGTTTTTGGTAATTATAATTAATAATAAAATAAAAAATTTTTTTTGACAACACTTGCTACGTTTATTTTCCTTTTTTATTTTTAATCTAATAAAAAAATTGACATGTATAAATTTAAAAAAATTAAAAATGCTATTTTTTTAAAATAATTTTTCGGAGCAAATTTATTTGTCAAAAACACTGAAAAATAAACAAGTTACTGCTAACTAATGTCATTCTAATTTTTCGAAGCTTCTAATGAATTTTTTCAGATAAATTTTTCTTGTTAAAAAAAATTCTAAAAATTATCAGACGTCTAAATTTCAGTACTATTAAAAGTTTTTTTTTTAATTTCAATAAATCTATTTTCAGATTTAATCAGAAATATTAATGATCCAGAACATCCTTTGACATTAGAAGAACTTCATGTCGTTGAGCAAAATCTTATTGAAGTAAGAATTAATTTATGAATAATCACTATTAAGTAGTCTTAAATTAAAAAAATCAAATAAAAAAATTTTATGTTAAAGGTTGACAATAAAAAAAATATTGTAAAAGTAAATTTCACTCCGACAATCCCACATTGCAGCATGGCAACAATAATTGGGTTATCAATACGCGTCCAATTATTGCGAGCCTTGCCATCAAGATTCAAAGTAAACGTAGAAGTGTCTCCAGGAACACACAACGCTGAAGCGGCGGTTAATAAACAATTGGCCGATAAGGAACGAGTAGCTGCAGCTTTAGAAAATTCCCATTTAATTAGAGTTATTAACCAGTGCATATACTCTGAAAAATAATTTTTAAATTTTATTATTGTTCTGAATAAAATATCTTAATAAAATTCTCTAAGTGTAAATAACATTCGATAGAATTTAATTTATATTTTTATTAAATATAACTAATACAAATAAAAATTTCAAAGTTTTTTTTTTTTTTACTTTTATATTACAGAGTTTTAAATCTAAATTATTAATTATCTTCTCTTCGATGCTACGGCAGATTTTTTTAATCCTTCAACCGGGTTGTACGCATAAGTTTTCGGTATTGGTCCTCTACCGAATTTATTAAACTGGACCATGTCCAAATGCTGGCGATCGGTCACTTCTCTTGCAGATTTCATATTTTTCCAAGCTGTTGATTTATTTTTAAATATTAAGTATCAATTGTAAGACATAAAAAAATTTTTTTTTATAAATTATTTTAAGTAAAATAACTTACAATCTTGAAATCCTTCCCTGAAATTCTTTTTTTCCACTTTACCAGGAGCATGCTGTATCTGCTTCGGTATTTTGCACCATTCCCTTATCTTGGGTATTTTTAGTATTGCAGCTTGCAATAATGAGAAAAAGTTTGTCGTTGTCCAGTACCATACAATTGCCTAAAGAAAAAAAATTATTGATTTATAAATTTATTGATCAATTGTTAATAGGACACAAATTTTTGCTTTCATTTCAAAATAACGATTAATAATTAATTGTATTAAATTTTTTATGAAAATTTTTTTTACAACACAAATATTTTGGGGAAAAATGTTGGACCTAATGATCACTAATTTCTGAATAAATATAATACTTACAGACGGGAAATTTATACTGAATGGTAGGATTACGAGAGGGATGGCTTGTACGACATACTTCATCATTCCCATACTCTCTAGCTTCGGACCGTCGATACCCAATCTTATTGTCGCAGCTAGGGTAACACTAGTCAGCACCGGTAATAAATAATAAGGGTCAGTGACAGTGAGATCTGTGAACCATAAGATACCACCGTGACGCATGCTTTCCAATGGCAAATTGGTCATTCCTTTCATTCCGAAGAAAAATGAAATGAATATTGGAGCCTATAAAAAGATTAATAATAAATTTTTTTAGTTATAAGATTTTTTTTTATATACTGACTGAAAATAATTTATTTTTAAAAAATTGAGCATTATTGTGACAATAAATTAATTAATTTGTTTAATATTTAAATGGACAACTTTTGTGAGTTTTCAGAAAAAATTTTTTTTCCCGAATCTAGATAATAATTTTTTTCAACAAGAAAGTAACTGAGAAATATGTTTTTTATTTTTTCAGCTGAGAAATAAAATTGGTAATTTTTTTTTAAATATTATTAAAGATTTTTCAAACTTAATATTTTTTTTTAGTTTGAAATATTTTTATCTTGGCTAATTGATTGCAATCCAACACTTACTTGGCACAATGGAACAATTATCGACTTCAGCGGATTGCAATTATTCCCACTCATGAACAACATTAATTCTTGAGTAAGACGAGCAACTGTAAAATAAAATAATAAATTATGATTTTTATTATTTTGAAAGAAGTATAAAAAAATAACCAATAGTATTGAAATAATTAAAGACCTTGCAATTGATCTCCATTAATTCGCGCTTCTGTGATCCTATTCTGAATTTTCTGCATTTCAGGCAGCGTATTATGCAGATGTGCTGCATTTCTCTGTGATATTACTACTAGAGGAAATAATATCGTTCTCACGATGACCGTTCCTAAAAAAAATTACAACAAGTACCGTAATTACTATCAACCACCAGTTGAAATTAATGTCATTATTTTTAGGAGAAAAAATATCATTAGTATCTTACCTAGAGCTATAGTTGCCCACCAAGGCAGGTCTAATGATACATGAATAAGCTCCAAGTATTGTTGGGCAATTCCGGCTGGCCACCAGCCTCCAAGCCCAACAGACGCAAGAGTCGGCTCTCCCAGCGCATTCGTCGCAGCTACTATTTCTTCTACGGAGATTGGTGGAGGTACAGGTACATCTGAAAAATAAATCTCAAGCAATTAATTTAATAAATTAAAATTATTTTAATTAATTAAAATTTATATAAATAATTATTTCTTCACTTAAATTTTACCTGGGATAGCATCTATCAGTTTGCTTGCTAAACAATAATTTATAATTTATTTATTTACTTTAAATAAAAATCATTAGTTTTATTTTCTATTCTCACCTGGGGCTTCTGAAGCTTCCAATACTTGGCAATAAAATTAGTATTTATATTAAAATAATTACATTAAGATATTTTATTTTTTATTTGTTATTTGTTATAGTATTTACCGGGAATCTCAGTTGCGTTTTTTATTGAATCTGATATACCTAACTCTACGGAAAATCAACTAATTGGTCAGTGTTCTTTAATTTAAATAAACTTTCAATCTTAATTAGTTACCTGTAGCAATATCCTCTAAATTTTCAGCTTTTTTTGAGAATAAATTAATATGAATTCATTAATATTTAATATTTAAAATTTAATAAAGTGTGGAAATTTTTAATTTAATGTTACCTGGATTTTTTACCAAATTGTTAGCTTTTAAAAAAATTAAGATTAAGATTCATAATGAATCGTTCAATTTTTTAATATTATGGCGAAATAACTGGTCCTATAAAAATTTTTTTCAAAAAATCATAAGAAACATTTTTTTTACAACATTAAATTTTGAACAACTTTTGTTTGAAAATTTCTTTATAGGATCAATATTTTCCCCGTAATATTTAAAATTTAAACCATATATTTTAAAATTGCAGTGAAAAATTTGGGTCTACTAATAACTGATAATTTTATAAAATTATTATGTTATAAATTATTTGCAACTACCTGCTTGATTTTGACCGGTCATATGGTTAACTAAAAAACAAATTTTATTTAAAATTTATTAAAAAGAATAACTAATTTTACCTGATGGGTTTGTGAAAATATCTGTCCTATTGTAAGCTACAATTAAATTATTACTTATTAAAAATCAATTTTAAAATTTAAATTAAAATTTTATAGAAAAAAAAGGTTTGATATTTATTTTTGGAAGTAATAATTTTTAAACTTGTAAAATTAAAGAAAAGTTTGTATAAAAAATATATTTTTTTATCACTCTAATAATTAATGAAAATTTCTACCTGTTTCTTCTGTTATCTTAGCTAAAAAAAATTTTTTTTAATTTATTTTTGATTGGAATGAATAATAAAAATAATTATTACAATTATTACCTGATCTATTGATATAATTAATCACGTCCCTCGCTAAGACTAAATTACAAACAATAATAATAAATAAAAAAAAAATTAATTTAATTGTTTATTGTTTTTTTTTTACCTGGATCAGTCCCGGCTGTCATTTAATAATTTATTAATAAATAAATAAATTCATAATATATAAATACCATTAACTTAAAAATAATTTTACCTGATATGGCATCTTTTAGAATGTCAGCTTTAGAATTTTTTAAAAATAATTTTTTAGTTCTAATTTTTAATAAAAAAAAAAAAAAAAAAATTTTTTTGAGCCTCAACTAACTTAATTTTCATCTAAATTTAATGTGATAATTTTTAACAATACCTGGAATAGCTTCCAGAGGTACAGCTGGTGTTGAATTTTGGAGCTGAATATTATTGACAGCCTCTGTAGATTTTATATCAGCACCTTCGGTGCTGATGGCTCGCACAAACGATGTCGAAGGGCTAAATTTACTCATTCGAACTTGAAAATTTTTATTAACAACTCGACAACTTAAGTGCATCGAGCGATTTATCAGCTTCTGTAAAATATAATCTGTTTATTAATCAAGTTTTTATATTAAAACTTATTTATTAACTTTATTATTATTTTAAGTCAAAATTTCAATTACTCTTACTTGCGTAACCTAAAAAATTATTAAGGACTTCTTACCTGTGATATCACGTGTGTTTGTGATAACGAATAATTCGTTATGTGTCTCGAAACTCGTGACAACATTTTTATGTGTATTTATTTTATTCTTAATTATTAATTTTATTTAGAGTTAAATATTAAATATTACAATTTTTTATTACACATTGGAATCACGCGTTTCATATATGTTTATGTATTATATATATTTATTTCGGCTTGAATACTATATTGATGATGATAAAATTGAACTTTTACTTATCAACATATTATTTAAATAATTATTTATTTAACATTTCTTCTTTTTTTTAATTGGTCAATTTTAAAAATTAATTTTTCTTTTTTATTAAAATTTTTTTCAATGAAAATATCAATTTTTTTCATATAAAAATAATTGTCTGCTTTAATTCAGTATCAAAATTTAAATTTTCATTAATAATATAATTAAAAAATTTTTTTTACCCATTTTATAATTATTATTCATCAAATATCAAATTTATATTAATTAATTACTAAAAAATTTATTTTTAAAAATAATACATATTTTAATTTATTATATTGAAATCAAACAGACATCTTAGAATTTTTTTTAGATTTTTATAACAATAATTTAATTATGAAGAAAAAAATTCAGTTAACCGACATTTAAAAACTTGTAAAATTTTTTTTCATTAAGAAAATAATTACAAAAAAATAAAAACAAATTTTCATTTGTAAAAAACTTTAAGTGCGCAATTTTAAAAAAATATTTTTTTGTTCTAATTAAATTATTAAAAAAATTAAAAACGTCGGCTCACTTTAGTATATTAAATTTCTTCCGTTATATTTAACATACTCGGCCTTAAATTTTTTTTTACCCTTCTGAGTTATTCTTGCTTTGAATACGACCGATTAATACTGATCAAAAAGCACATTTTATTAATATTTCCATTATTAATTAAAAAAAAAGCGTTAAATTTTGTAATTATACTGTAAGTCCGTTTTTTGCATTTATTAAACATCAGTGCGCGCCACTTGCGAGCAGATGTGCTGTCTCTACAGTTCGTGCACGGTCCTCTTTTCTAATTACTCTTCACGAAAAGAAGATGGCGTTTCAATCGAAGATTCTCGCAAGCGGTCGTTAATAGAGTAGTTTCAATATATAACAAATGGCATTGTCTATCTTTCGGGTTCTCCAACGAAGTCATGTTGGAAGCCTAAAGGCTCGTCAAGGGTAACCACCTGGGGACTAAATCTCTCGGGTTCAACGTGATCCAAACCTTCTCGGTTTCGATCTCGGCGCTGCTACAGCGCAGAACAAGAGGGCAGCTTCGTGGAATGGAGGATTCAGGTTACCAGGTGGATCGCCTGAGACGGGGAGATGATCCTCTTCTAAGAAGTGTAATGCAGCTTCGTAAACTAGTTGAGGAGTTGGCAGGCAAAATGCTGTGATCTAAGTGATAGCTCCAAGCGGCTTATGTATTACAGGTTCTGTCTCTGTCAATGAGTAATCGACATCTCGTCCTCATCCTGGCTGGTTAATAGCCAGGATAAGGATTCTTTTGATATTTTTTCAAAATTTATCAAAGTTAATTCATTAATTAAGTCACCCAAATCATCTGAAAATATTTAGAATTTTTTTTAATTGACGAACTGAACAAATGTAAACGCAATGTCAATCTATCCTCGTACTCGGTCAAACTGTACAACAGTCCCATTCAACGGTTACGTTGGCCTGATCGGTATTATAATGGACCAGTTTCCAGCGAGGCCCTTTTGCGGGGAGGTGTAACCGTACAGCCCTGACTCTAAAATTGACAGTTTTAAATTTTTTAGGTGAAAATTAATAATAATTACAATAAAAATTAAGTTAGCCGATAGTTAAAAATTTTTAGAGATTTTTTTTATTGAAAAAATTATTACCAAATAATTTTTAAAAAATGTCACTTGTAAAAAACTTGAAAAACTGTAAGTGAAATTTTTTAAAAATATTTTTTTGTTATAATTTAATAAAATTAAGCTAAATAAAAAAATCAAAAATGTCGGCTAACTTTATTATTATTAGCCGACACTGAAAAATTTTTGGTTTATTGTATTAATTAAAAATTAGAACTAAAAAACAATTTCTTAAAAATTCCACATATAATTTTTAAAATTTTCTTCATGTGAAAATTTTTATTTCAATTTTTTAAAAATTATTTTTCAATAAAATAAATTATAAAAATTTTCAAGTGTTGGCTAATTTAATTTTCATGTTATTCCAAAGAAATTTTTACACAAGCAAGTAAAATAAGTATCTTTTGACATTATTTTTGTGCTTTTAAATTAAATAAACGGTAATTAAACATTTTTTACTGTTTCTCTCTCTAGAATTATATCTGGACTCGCTTCGCTCGGCCAGATAACTAACTCGGTCTTGATAAGAATGCGCGCATAGCTTCAAACTCGTGACGTCACTTCAAGCCGTGTCAGAATCCCTACCTTTGCGCATATGTATATCAGAAATAACTATTTTAAAAAATTACATCTATAATTTTTTACAGCTTCTACAGATAAAATTTTTTTTGCTAGGATTTATTTGTAAATTTTTTTTTTTTTCAATTATCAGATAATTTTTTTTAGCACTAATTTAATTTTTAATGAATAAATTTATTTAAAAATAAGCAAATTTTTATAAAACTAACATTGCTAATTTTTTTTATCAAAGTAATGAAAAATCAATACTTTCTTTATCTACATTTTTAAAAAATACATATATTTAAATTTACTTATAATTAACAATTCATGATTTTATTAATAAGTATTTATTTTGGTATGTTATTACAGGTTGCGCTCGTTCAAGTTCAAAGTACATTGTACACTTTATAATTCTGCCGCACTTATTGTACAATTTACAATTAAAAATTAGTACAAAGTGCGGAGTTTGTTTTTCTAATTTTAGCGGTTTGTAAAATCTAATTAATATGTGGTGCGAATTAGTAGGAGCAATAACAATTATTTACTATCTTTTTTATCTAATATTTCCTTGGTTCATCGACTGCGATGTGCAATTATACTTAAAAGAAAAATTTGGCCAGCCAATATGTAAGTACTTAGAAAAATCCTTTTTTTTTTTTTATTTAGGGTAGATAATTTGTTGTAAGAATTAAAAAAAAAAATTGACAGTTGTTAGTTAAGTTTAGTGTCATATATTTATAAATTAATAATAATAATTAAATTATTATTAATAATGAAATAAAATTGCAGATGTATTAAGAGGAAAAGTTGTTTGGATCACCGGTTCCTCAAGTGGAATTGGAGAACATCTAGCATATGAACTTGCAAAAGTTAATTGTAAATTAATATTATCAGCACGTCGAGAAGAAGAGCTGATAAGAGTTAAGCAACAATGCTTGAAAATAAATCCAAGTTTGCAAGATAGTGATGTAGAAGTTTTTAAATTTGACGTTTGTGATTATGACAGCCATGAAAAGTCTTTAGGTTATATTATTAAAAAATTCGGCGAGGTATTTTTTTTTAATAAGTCACAAATTGGAAATTTATCTAAAATTATAAAAAATAAAATTTTTTATTTTTTTTTTTTTTTAAGTTTGTTTAGTTAGAAAATTTATTTAAAAATAATTGCATGATTGATTTTTTTTTTATAATTGTTATTAATAATTATAATAATTATTAATTAATATATTTTTTGCAGTTGGATATTTTGGTAAATAATGCAGGAAGATCACAAAGAGCTACTTGGGAAAAAATAGACATAAAAGTAGACAAAGATTTATTTGACTTAAATGTCTTTTCAGCAATAAATTTAAGCCGATTAGCTTATCGCTACTTTGCAGAAGTTGGATCTGGACATTTAGTTGTAACTTCAAGCTTAGCTGGAATTTTAGGAGTCCCATTTTCAGGATCTTACACTGGATCTAAACATGCTTTACATGTTAGTATAATATCAAAATTAAATTAGCCGATATCTAAAAATTTTTATATTTTTTTTTTTATTAAAAAAATTTTAATTTAAAAAAAAATTGAAAAACTTTAAGTGCAATTTTTAAAAAATATTTTTTTTGCTCCAATTTAACTAATATGGTGTATTATAATTTTCCAGGGTTACTTCGAGAGTCTGAGAGGCGAAAAAATGAACCTGAATATACCGATAACAATGGTATGTCCCGGAGCAATAAGCACTCCATTTTTGCCCCACAGTTTCACTGAGACTCACGGAGAAGAGTTTGGTGAAAAAACAGATGTAAATGCGTCGAATAAACTAACTCCTGAACGATGTGGGTATTTGATGGCGGTAGCTATTGCTAATCGTCTCAATGAATGCTGGATTTCCAAAGCTGGTGCGCTGCAAATCACTTACTTGATTAGATACTATCCAAATCTAGCTGAAGTGTAAGTTTATAAAATAATTTATCATTTAAATATCAGAATTTTTTTTTTCAACTATAAAAAATTATTACTAAAGATATGAATAGATGAAGTAATTAGATAAAAATAAAATTGACTGATATCAGAAAATTTTACTAATTTTTTTATTGAAAAATTCTAAGTGCAATTTTTAAAAAATATTTTTTTAATTATAATTTTTATTTATTAAAAAAAAAAAATTGTCTAATGTCTGCCAATTTTAGTATTGCAATTAGATAAAAATTAAATTAGCCGACTTGAGAAAATTTTTATAATTTTTATATTGAAAAAAAATAAAAATAAAAAATTTGATTAGTAGATAATTTGAAAAATTCTAAGTGCAATTTTTTAAAAATATTTTTTTAATTATTAATTTTTATTGATTAAAAAAAAAAAAAAATTGTCTAATGTCTGCTAATTTTATCATCATAGTAATTAGACTTGTAAAATATCTTCACCTATTCAAGTCTTTATTTAATTGTACTAATTTATTTGATTAAATAAATTTCAGGATATTAACAAAATTAGGACCGAAATTTTTCCAACGTCTCCGTGACAACAAAGTGACAGTAGATACAAAATAGAGTAACTAAAGAAAAACAACAATCAATAATATTGTCTATACAATTATTACTCATTATTATTTTTATATACTTATAGCTTATATACATTAATAAAAAATAAAATAAAAAAAAAAAGCTACATTATTCATCAAGAAGATGAGACAATTTAGCGCGCGCGTTTTTGCCGCGCATGATAGCTTCTTTGAATAATTTACAGTAAAGTTCAACAGCGACTGGAGTGTCATCGTTACCCGGGACTGGATAAGTCACTAAATTAGGATTGCAATTGGTGTCGACGATTCCCACGGTGGGGATGCACATCTTGGCGCTGTCCCGAACTGCGTTGCTCTGATTAAGAACGTCGTTGAGGCTGTTGATCAGGATGACCAGGTCTGGGAGCCGCGTCACTGCTTTGAACTTCTTGGTGGAGTCTGTGAAGATTCCATCGAGCCAGAAGCGAGTATGAGCGAATTCCTTGCACTCGAGGGCAGTTTTCTCCACCAAGTGCGTCACTTGCGGGTTACGACAGACAAACAGAATAACTCCTTTGCGAAATGCAATGTGTGCTGTGAAGTTCAGGGCTTCTCGTAACAGCACTGCTGTCTTGTCCAGGTCGAATATTAGATGACCGAGGCGTGATCCGAAGATGAAAGGTTTCATACGGTCATCTAGAGACCCGATTTTATGACCGTAGTGGACTCGCGCGTCAAATAAATCTTTTACGGTAAACAGCTGATGGACTCCAAAGAAGTCCGGGTGCTTTAGTGGATCTATTAGTGGTGGATCTAAAAAAAAAAAAATATTAAGTAGTTTTTATAACAGATAAATTATAGTAAAAAAATGAGAAAAAAAATTGAAGTAGAAATTTAAAAATGCAAGTTTTAAAAATAATTTTTCGGAACAAATTTGTTTGTTAAATAATGACTTTTGTTAAATTGCACTGTATTTTCTTAAATATTGACATTTTTAAAGAAATAAGCTCATCCTGATGTTACACTCATCAAGAGCTTTCATTTGAATACCTACATGCATTTTGATATATTTTTCATATATACATATATATAAATATATGAAAAATTGATGTGGGTACTCAAATGAAAGGTCTCGATAAGTGTAACAAGCTTATATCTTTAATAATATCAATAGTTCACCAGATACAAGGTCATTTCTTAATTCTTAACATTTTTAAAGATATAAGCTCATTCCGATGTTACACTCATCAAGAGCTTCCATTTGAGTACCCACATGCATGTTGATATATTTTTCATATATACATATAAATATATAAAATATATGAAAAATTGATATGGGTACTCAAATGAAAGGTCTCGATGAGTGTAACATCGGGATGAGCTTATATCTTTAAAAACGTCAATAGTTAAAAAAGTACAGTGCAATTTA